TGACATCCTATAATCATCATCATCACGACCAACACTATCAACAACACCGTCATCACCTGACCTCCTATTATCATCATCATCACGACCAACACTATCATCATCTCGTGACATCCTATAATCATCATCAGCATCATCAGCATTAATGATACATTCATCATTCAATATAATTTTCTTTCTCTACCCCCCAGGAAATCATCCTAAAGAAAGGTAGCAATCCGCTGGGCTTCAGCATCGTGGGCGGTTGTGACCACGCCAGTCATCCATTTGGCTTAGACGAACCCGGTATATTCATATCAAAGGTAAGAAACACCTGAAATAGTGTTTGACCTTTGGAGGGATACGTGTCCGTACAAGCGGTCATGTTACAACATGATGATAAGACGAGTAAAAGATCTCTCAATCCTGTCAAGTGCACATTGTTCAATCGATACCCTGAAACAACATCTACAGTCATGTTTCGTTGTAATGACGTCCGTCTGCCTTAGAATCTCTGAGAAAGAACTGGCAAAATCACCTTGTTATTGTTTCATTACATGTATTGTTTGAACCTAAACTAAGCCGCATACCTTCTTCCTTCATAAAACTTTTGATTCAATTTTTAAATTTTAAATTTTTTGGGCTACCTGYGAAAAAATCTGTCCGATAATGTTGAGGAAAAAATAGAGACTGAGACGAGATAGAACGCCATCACCTGATTAGGAAATTCTTATTTAATGAACATCTTCACCGTCTTTTTAATACCATCTTTCACAGCATAGTATATTATGAGAATTACACTTTATTTTGCGAATTATATTTCATCAGCCAATTATTCAGTCATCGTAATCTGTTCCGTCAAATGTTTTAGCTTTGACCTCGCGCATGCGCAGACAGCGATAATTAACGGACTAATGACGTAACAGAACTAAACAAATTGATAAATAATGCTTTATAAATGTTTTCTCAAGAATTAGCCACTATATCAATAAACAACAGCATCTTTTTTCCATATCAAGAACGTGTTGGAATTTTTGATTCATATATATTTTTTCATCGCTTCACTCGGATACTTTCCAGCGAACGTGAAACAATTTCGGCTCAATTTCATATTTTTCTGATACACGACTGAGCAAAACATCTTTTTTAAATCATTGGCATTGAAATATTCCTTTTGTCATTTCGGACAGCAAAATCCAGCTACAACAAAGCCATGCAAGCTTGTCTACATCTTTCTTTTCAAATACTGACTTTGAGTGACAATTTAATTAGACGTTCAAGTCTAGTAACGGCTCTTTCTTGTACGACTGCTTTGTTAGGCTAATCCATCCATTCGTAGCTGCTGGAGAGCTATAATCCATGTGGTTTTTGTAATTCAAATGAGAGTTATTGCAAAATTATTTTGTCAGCCATTGACTTTACGTCTTAATTCACGAAGACAAAATGTTTGTTCAAATGGTTTACACTCGTAAACCATCCTCTGAAACGACTTCAGAACCAGAAACAATACCCAAGGTATAGTAATGTCAATTCGTTTTCCGTTCAATCTCGTCTTTATTTTTTCCGTGTTTAATGGTTAATTCTCTGGTCGTTTAATTCACAGGAAACCCTAAGTACCTTATATTTGTATGACGTGTGTTATATTTCATTAGAAAACTCATTAATAATTCATGAAGAAAACACACTAGAAATCATGACCATGAAGGTGATTTTAAATCGGATAAAGATTCGTCTTCATTTGCATRAACTTTAACTTGGATTTTCTCTATCCAACTTGGTTCATTTCGTAAAGAATTCGGTACAATATGAGAACATACATCATAAGTTTTYTAAGCCGTTYAATAAWCTCGCAGATCGTGTTTTATCGGGTCTAAAACCACTCGGCTGCGCCTCGTGTTTTAAACCCGATAAAACACTCCTGCTCGTTTATTAAACATTACATAGGTTTCCGTTCCATATTAGTATAACTTTAAAAACAACACTGGATTTATTTATTCTAAACAAATAGTTTCACTGATTCCCGCCTCAAGTGTATCCCTCGACGCTTCTCTGTTATATTATTTGTTTCTTTCTGTGATCCCCAACAACAGGTAGAATGTTGATAACCCGCGACTTATGAACCCAGAATGTGTCTTAATTCTTTCCTTCTTAGGAACGTTTTTGCATAGTAAATCCAAGAAACCAATAATTTCATATGGTCTTCGTCAGTTGGCGATGGTTATGCTTTTCCAAACCAGACTTGATTCTTTTATTTGTGAACACGTTCAGTGATAAATAAGAATATATTTTTTATAACCTCACGTGCTGCTGGTTACGTAACGACTTTGAGTAAAACTGGAGGAAAAAGAAAAAAGAAAAAAAACCCAGCTTTTTTGTTCCATCTTCTTCAAGTGGCAAACGTGTATAGTCCAGAGAGTTCAGAGTCGTTGATTTCTGAAGGTCTTTACTTCTATTTCGTGCATCATTGCAGATCAGTTTGCAGGTCTCATAAATAGCGGGCATTATAAACATAATCCTTTAATAGCATTCAGTTTCTCTTTTCAAAATTATTGTTTTTTCTCGATTTAACCTTTTTATTGCGAAAGGGTTGTTTATCAGAAAGGTTTTTTTCCTTTACGCGAAAAATTACGAAATTATGTCTTTACCACAGGTAGCCCACAATTTGCATATGTGGTGTTAATGAACTTTGAGTTTTTACATCCATTCTAAGCCAGGTTTTCTCTTTCTAACAGATCGTTCCTACTGGAGTCGCAGCTACTACACATTTAAAAATAGGAGATAGAATATTAAAGGTGAGTTTTGTCAGTTTAAAAGGAGAACAGAGGAGATGAGAGGGAAGGGGTTCAAATGCTCATTTAAACAACCCCTTTTGAATATTCATCTCCTGGGCCTTCATGTCTCGTTCAGCGGTTAGTTTTATTGTCGCGCATGCTCGAATCGATGTCGGCGATTTGAAAGATCCGGGTATTTGAAAGCTGATTGAATTTCCGAAGTTTTCCCATCGCTAAATAGGACTGTACACAGGCTAGGGTCTTTCAGTAAAGCGTTTCGAGTTTCTAATCATTGAAAGCGAACAGATACAAATCAATCGATGGTTTAGCATATTTGTAATCTTTATTGCAAGTTTTACCGTACATGTATCATGACCATATTGAGTCCTACATTTGTCTAAAAAGAATAAAGAAAAGAAAAGAAAAGAATAGCAAAAACGTTATAAGACTATTCAATAGCGGGGTGTGATTTGCTGATTTAACAGTTATTCACACCCCATACTTCTGTCGGCATGTTCTATCAGTTCTATTACCAGTGATCATTGGAATGACGTTACCACATTGACATGAATTCCTTTGAACAATCACGAAGTACCTTACTAGGTCGTATGAATATATATAGCGATGCCAAAATTTCCTGAAATTTTAGGTATTCTTTCCAGGCCAACTAAACGACACTGAGATTGTTCCAAAAAATACCTTCTAGTCAGTTTTATCGGTACCATCAAAAACAACTTCTGGGCTGATCTAAGTCAGGGCATGGCTAACTCACAGATCGAACCCTGGAACAACCTTTGAGCTGATCTAAGTCAGGGCACGACTAACTCACAGAAAGAACCCTGAAACAACCTCTGGGCTGATCTAAGTCAGGGCACGACTAACTCACAGATTGATTTAGGTTTTGTAGAGGGAAGATAACCTGAGAATCGCAGTGAAAAAAGCCCTCGCATCAAGGGAGAAACCTAGCATATCATCATTCTACTCGCTATATGTGAAGCTGATCTTTAGGAATTGAATCAAGAGACTCTAGAGGCGAGAGGCGAGTGTACCACTGCTACATCACCCTTGATACCAAACATGCGTACAACTGACGTCATGGTTTTTGATATTTTGTATTCCAGTCGGCAAACTTTGCATTGTCATCGTAATACCCAACATGTTGGGACTCGTTGGGATCGTTTGAACAGAATTGCCAGCATTATCCAACAATTGTCAACATTGATACCCCAACCATGATGTTGGGTGTTGTTGCGCGCTTTTGCACGGAACTTTACGTAGCTCCAACGTCGTAGAAACAATGAAATGTTACTTTTTGATAAACCAGCAAGCTTGCAAGCAAACTAATCTGCGCAACCTCGGGGCGGCAGCTGTAAAAGGAAAGAAAAATGTCTCAGGAATGTCCATTTATTGTGTAACGTAATGGATGTCAGTATTGTGTAATGATCCTACTTTGGTACTTTGTCGGTAAAAAGGGAAAAGTGCAGCATAAATAGTAGTGACCGTTGCTTTGTTTTTTGTTTTCGTTTATATAATTACGAAAGTTTCATTATTCCTTATTGGTCTCGTAATGAGCTTTATTCAACTTTGCAGCGGCGGCAGTTTTTTATTCTTGCGGTTAATGGGTGTTAAGTAGTCTTTGGCGGCCTCTTCATTTGCCGTTTTCTTTAAATCCTTAACAACTAATGAAAGTCCATTTATTTTCTGGTAAAATAAATAAATGAATAAATAAAAATAAACACCGAAAAAAAGATTTTCCTTAAAACTGAACTTTTCTCTGATTAGTGTTGATCACATTTAGAAGAAGAGGTGTGCTCCAACATGACGTAGTTTTTGCTAAAACTTCTCCAAAGCAACAGCTATTCTTAGCTTTCTTGTCCCCATTTCCTGTCCATTTAGCTCTGTACAATGAGTATTTTTACCGCTCTAGACTCTATGAGGGGCCCATGACGTTGACAAATATATCCCTAGGGACCCCTAGCAATAGAGTGCTCTTTTACCAAAACTTTACCGCAGTCTAGGTCGATTGTACTCGCTCCCTCGCAAAGGAACCGCTATCCGCCCACTTGAGTCTGCTTAGGTAATGATTATTTATACCTCAATGCTCGTCTTTGTGATGTATTGTTGTCAAAACAAATAGACACAGCTAAGAGAATGAATTTAATCTTCCAAATAATCCAATTCAGTCAGAATCGCTAACCACTTGAACTGCCACCATCCAACGCACGAAACGATAGAAAGGCGAAAAATCTGTAAAACAAAATTCGGTATGACGTTTGGGATCCATCACGGAGCCAGGAGTTGGCCTTGTAGTTCGGCCTTGAGGAAAAAGGTGCAGTCATTAATTTCTTTTTGCTTAGAATTGTCTTTGATTCTAGCTTAGGTATGCAAAAACTGATGCATATCATTCATGTTTTGATGGGAGTTTATGATTTCTGGATTGTTAGGATTTATCTTCTACAACTTTCCCACAGTGTTTTTTCTCATTGGTATTTTTCTTTACGCGGAAAAAAAATTAAGTTTTTTCCCCGGCTTCCATGCTTGTTTTTGTCATTGTAAGTCAAGCACTCTAATGAACAAGAAGTACGAACTATTAAGACACAAAATGGAGCTCAATGACTCGATATTTTATAGCCAATTAACTTGACATTTACTAGCGCATTTGCTACTCTCGATTCTACTTTTCGCCCAAAAGAGGTAAAATCTCAATTATCTTCGGCGATAATTAACTTAATACTGTCTAAAAACAAATGATCAAACTTCTCTAGTTTGTCTATTATTTTAATCCAACAATWATTGTTTAGCATAGATATCAGATATCTTATTAGCTTTTTAGTTTCTTTTATTCTCCTTCCGTCGTAGTTAATTTTATCGACGTTCGTAAGATATTTAGTTAACTTTGAAGTATTTAACGATAAAAACTAGCGATAACAACTGACGTTTCGATGCCAGAAAGAGTTACAGTGAAATAAATAATTTAAAAAAGAATTAGAAATTTAGATTAACTCTTTCTGTTTTAATTTGAAAATAATTTAAGCTATCGCTAGTTTTTATCGTTTAATGTATAAAGTTTCCTTTATCTACTTTTAAGTAGTTTCAAACAGTATGAGTACGGTGTTATATGCAAACGTGTTTCGCATGGTAGTGTTACATAACGCTTGAAGTTTCACTTTTTTTTCAAACTAAAAACCGCCAACTCATCAATTTTTTCAGCATCTTTTCGTTATTTTCCGATAATGATACTCAATTCCTTCAGTTATTCGCGACGAAACAAAAGTTTTTTTTAAAAATTATTTCTTCGTTATATTATTGGTAAACCATCCTCGGTTATTCTCAATACTGAAGGACATTCCTAAGCCATCCAGTTTTGCTGGCATTAACTATTTTAGGGATTTTTCAATTGTTTATTGTGTGGTTTCATCGTAATCTCTGTATTTGTTATTTTCTGTCTGAGCAGGAAGTTGTTAAGACTTGTTTGTTTGTATCTTGTGTCTTATGGTTGATCTGGGTTGATGATTATGATAATGATGATACCGTGTATATGAGTATATTGATGGTCGTCAAAGTTGTACTCCATGTTGGGTTTTTTTGTTCTTGTCGTAACTCGTGGATTGAAAAGTCTTCATGCGAGGATGATGTCTTCCTCTTTTCGTTGCTTGTTTGCCTCTCGAGTGACTGCTGGGAGCGAGGGGCTGGTGATATAGCCCTCCCTTCCTACTCTTCTTACTAACATTCACTAGATATTCAACTCTCAGCCAYACCACCCTTTTATTCCTAAATTCATATTATTATACTATATTCTCCAATCGAATCCCCCTCCCTCCCCACCCTTAGGGTGGTCCACCTTACTTGCTTCTTAGTTGTCTTAATCTGATTCTCATTTCCCATTCTATTCCATCCCAATCCAGGTCAATGGAAAAGACATGCGTAACTCAACACACCAAGAAGCCGTGGCAGCCTTGATAGCTAATGTATCTCTGATAAAACTACTAGTACGGCACGACCCACCACCTAAAGGACTCCAGGTAAGCYGACGCGCGTGCTGTTTTCACTTACGCTACGCTCGCGTGCAGTGTRCGTGTTATGGAGGATTCGTTACGCCTTCGATTACTTCCATGACATTTGAATGGCTTCCTGTGCTGAACCATATAAGAGTTATATGACTCATATCTTACAACTACCACACGCCGTACGGGGCTCTTCCGCGAGGCTCGCTCCTTACACACTRCAACTACACTCTATATTTACAACTCAACTCACATGTTGATTTTTATGGAGGGAGGAAACCAGAGAACGCGGAGAAAACCCTTGTGGCAAGGGAGTAAACAACACATCAAACAAACTCAACTCACATTTGATCCATCCTGAGACGGGACTCGAACCCTGACGACAGCTGTGAGAGGCGAAAGGTAAACCACTACGCCARYCATACCAACCTAAAACAAGACCAACTTCCATTCCAAATTCAACTCCAAAAGGCCCAATTAAGAGCRTTCGAAAAAATGTTTTRAATTTAGTTTCMTGCAGTGRCGCATCCGAGATTAATTCTTACAARGYCTTATAAAGCATTCAAATGAATACCTCATAGATAGTAGTCTGARAACTGAAGAMWTGAATGATTGTCTGACGTCGGTGATATTATTTGTCGCAGGAAATAACGTTCAATAAAAGTCCTGTAGATAAACTTGGTATCAGTATTCGAGGAGGCGCCAAGGGACACCCAGGAAACCCATTCGATAAAACAGATGAAGGAATATTYGTATCCAAGGTATGAGACARTACTCCAGTTTTGAATTTCCTGTTCTACAGGGTTAGCCTCGATTTYGTATRGRATTACTTTGAATATTCATGCTTCTAGTGAAGGTCCGTGGAGTTTCAAGAGTGTTTGTATTGTTGAAGTTGTGCATTCTTTACTTTACCGTTGGTATTTGTGAATATTTGGACACTGAAATGAGGCTTACYCTGTATAAACGAGTCAGCGATCYTTGACTAATTCCAAAACGGTCTATTAAACTACTCTTCATTCATGTGCACCTTATATATTTCCGTACGCGTTAAGCCTGGTTCTAGCGACGCAAGCTGACGTAACTCCTTTTTCTCGCTATGAAAAGGARCGAAAAGAGCGMARAACGCAAATCACAAGAGAACCGGCRAAACWTTTTGYTTTTCTTGCGTCTGYTTGCGTCGCTACTGAGAACCTGGCTTTAGGAATGTCGTTTCCGTCCATCCATTTTCCAACCGTCTGATTAAATCAAGACAGAATCCCAGTCGCTAGGAAATTGTGGAGGCTGCAAAACATGAAAATAAACGACTTGATTTTACCGTTTCAAGCCTCCTTRAACTGACRAGTGGCGGAACATCAAAGAAAACAGCCAGCTTTAATTATAAAAAGGGATACAAATCATGTGTTATCGAGCGTGAATTACCATGGCGTATTAAACACGTGGTTATTTTGTCATTTTCAGGTGACGGATGGAGCCGCTGCTTCTAAAGATGGTCGGCTCAAAGTTGGTCAAAGAATATTAGAGGTGAGTCAGAATTGGGTTACCTGTGGCAGCATTGTTCATTGTCAGTTCCCGTTTACATGAAGGTAGGGTCACTCTACTGCTAGYGCAAAGTGTTTTCTTTTTGCTGTTATTTGGGGAAGCAAAACAAGTCTAAAGTCGCAAGTACTAGAGCAACCTTACCCTCATGCAATTTGGCCTTAAATTGTCCCACTTTCCTTCCCTATCCTACGCCGCTCACACACCCTTCAACCCACCTATCCACTCATTCATTCCTATTTTTTTATTTCCATGCTTTCTTTGCCAATATTCAAGAGGTAATCATTCTTCTTGCAATCTCAGCGCGGGATTCCCATTTGCATTAATCACATTTAACTCTCGCCAATCTTAAGTACTTTACTTATCTGGTCTACAGGTTAATGGTACCAGCTTGTTAGGCGCAACGCATTTAGAAGCCGTCCGCGCTCTCAGATCCATGGGAGATAAAATAACACTGTTGGTGTGTGATGGGTACGATCCGTCGAAGGTGCCAGAGGTTCTACCAGGMAGTATGCCAGTCATGTCGCTCAATGCTGGTCGATCTGTTAGTGAAGAATCAATCGATAGAGACCCGCCTACTCACGAGAGAGCGCATGAAGAAATTCGAAGGGAAATTCGACGACAGGTATGATGATTTTTTCTGATTCAAAGAGTCGTCCTTGTTTTACGAGGTTAGCACTTAATAGACAGTGGCTAACAAACCTGTGGCCCTTGTTCGATGAGCAAATGGAATTTAGAAGAGTTGGTTTTTGAGTAGGGATGGAAACCAGGGAACCCGGAGAAAACCCTCGAAGCACAGGAGAGAACCAACTAGAAACTCTTCTCACTTAAGACAACGAGGAATCGAAACCAGGTTGCATTAGTGAAAGACGATCGCTCTCTCCACTACACCACCCATCATTCGCAAGAAGAAATGAGGAGTGGTGTAGCCTAGTAAAWGAAGACTCTGTTTAGACGCTTGGTAAACAAAATCAAATCAACATACTTTTAACCTAGGATCGAAACCTCATCTGTTTTTTATTTTTTTATTTTTTTGTAGAAAAATGCTTTTACTACATTATTATTTCAAACGTTAATTCTAGCATTTTACTGTACTCAAAATTTTCCATATATTCCTTATGTTTTCCGCACACATGCGCAGAAAGGATTCCCTTGACTACTTCTTGGGGTAAATCACAACCGCTTTCTTTTACTCAGTGTTTATTCAAATAGTTTCTTTACGTATTTCAACGAGTCGTTTAGTCGTATACAATTTATCGTACAAAACTCCCAAAATATRAATCGTTCCTTGTCGCACCCGTTGTTACGCGCGCGATTTGTTCTTTAACTTTCGACAAAATGTTTGCTGCATTAGTTTACTAAAACGGCGTTTTCAGTTTCCCATATGGTGTGTTTATATGGCTTCCTAATGGCAATAACCCTTACAAAATGGTGAAAGTATAAGTGGTTCAAAAGTCTCCAAGACTTTCGGCACTTATATTCATCCTTACTTAAAATCTAAACATCTAAAGAAGAGTGGACARCGCTTTTGCTTCAAACAGTTGGTCACACTGCTTATTTTTGCTAAAAATTTTAAGTACYAAACCTCCTGAAAATCTAAACTTCAAGACAGCATAAGATTTTTTTCAACGACATTTATATTACGGATTTAATTATTTCTTCCTTGCTAAATGTGAGAGTTATTGCGTGTGTYGTTTAATAAAATTCAGTAATAAACCCTTCTAATGATAAATAGCCAAGTCACAGCAAATCAGTCTTGCTTGATCGATAAGTACTTGCCATAATTGCTTACTTCAAATCACTCATTAAACTAAATATATACGAGACAGYAAACCCGATTCATCTTGTTTAAAGATAGGAAGTGTTAAACGTTGATTTTCCTCTGTTGTCTTCACCTGTCAGATTGAACGTCCTTACTCTGAAAACCAAATGGTAAGCGTTTTTCAATGCATTTTCTTTTTGGTCTTCGGTTACGAGATTATGAGTCTTCAGCCAACCGTTCAAAGTTGAATAATTTGTTTATAACTTTATTCAATTTCTGTGGGGAAAAAGAACAAATTTCTATATTCTATTTCTGTGTTTCTTGTTTAACTTGTTTTTCTCAGTGGTTTTTGAATCATAAAAAGTGTCGTACACAACTAGTTGTTAGACAGGAACAGAACCAAATTCACTTAGAATAGATATCTAAATGTCCTTTTAAAACTCATTCAAAGTCTTTGATTCATTTGATTGATATTCTCGCAAGACTTTTTCACGTCAAGAACCTCAAAAAATTTCACTCCTGTTCGTCAACATTGAAAAGGTTCACTCTGTCATTTTTGTTGCCGATTATGGGACGCAACTAATCTCTGTTAGACCTTACCCTAGGAAAGGTTAACAAAATAGCTTTGTTTATCGGGAAAATATACTAAAGACTGAATGTTATCTAAGATTTCTTGGAAGTATGAGGATTCTGTACGTCATCCGCTGGCAGTTTAGTGACCTTTTGTATTTTTAGGCTGTTATTTCATCGTAAAGGAACGTAGCTACCCTGGTTCAATCCAGACATAAGTTATCCATCCGTCAATGCAAACTAAATCTTGCCACTACGAGACTACCACGAGCTGTTTTCTTGTGTATCAACAAGGTCTAGTTGCAGTAATTTCGTATTAATTTTAAGTTTTTTTTGAATTGAAACTCCGTTCAAACGCCGTCAGAGCCTCGGGGAACCTTTGTTGCTTTGCTGCTGTTGTAACACAATCACTCGATAAACTTGCAATGCCTCGGGCACAAGATATCCTTTACAAAAAGGTAAAATGTCTTTAACCTCACAATATATCCAGTTATTTACGTGTTTTAATAGAATAAGTTTCTCAATATAGGAGAGGAGAGGGCAGGGGAGGGGAGGGCAGTGCGTAGTTTGGTTCAATATAATGAATAATCATGATTTGAAAAATCACTACTTCATTTGTTCGGCTTGATTTGATTCAACTCATCGCATCCAACTTAACTAATTGTGAAAAAGCCAAGATCCTTAAGATGATTCTTGATTATAAATGATCTTTTGTTCTGGGCCTAATGCTTTTTTTTCCCCATTTCAAACCAGTTTTAGGACTTTATTTTTTCTGGTTCTATTGTATTCGCAAAAAAATGCATGTTCCCGAAGTTTAGGATARTAATGTTATCAGCCATTCCGAGGTTGAGTAAATGACTGGGTCGAGTTTGATTTGCAGTGCATTCTGGGACTGCTTTAGAGGACCAATCAGACGCCATCTTGGAAATATGTCTCCTTAAAACAGTCCCACAATGTACTGTAATGTCAGCTTGACCCAGTCTTTTCCTTAACCTGGGAATGGCTAATATTGTTTTATTTGGACCCATATCTATAATATGAGTCTGCGCAGTGTTCTCATTCCTAGTCAATGCGTACATCATATTTCTTGTGATCAACTTGTGTTCCGTCTTATTTTGGTTCGATTATCAGTCTGACGAGCTATCTTTGTAATAAACGCTTTGAATTCCTCAGTGCTTGCCTCTACTTTTGCATAGAATCGTATCAATAACCAATCAGTACATTCGTTATAATAGATCCAAATAATGATGTCATACGTTACTTGCCCCAAAAGCGCGCTAAAATTTGGCAGGCGCGCGTGGTGCAAGCATTACTTACGAAACCGGAAATAAGTCATCGTAACGAAAGTACATTGGAGTTCCGTTCATTTCCGGTTGATGTTATRTCTTCAATATGTGTATACATTATAAATCCGTAATGCATTTTCAATTACTTTTAATTTTGAGTTTAGAGTTGACAATAAATGCATAGAAGAAGTCGATCGAGAGATAAAATGCGCATGGTGCGAGATTTACTTAGAGAACCGGAAGTAAGAGATMATGACGGAAGTACATTGGAGTTTGGTTCATTTCCGGTTGACAAAATCACCGGCAGTCCGTAATTCATTTTCATTAGAGTTGATAAAAGATGTACAGAAAAGTTCATCAAAGGGTAAAATGACAATGGATTTGGTTGTTGACCTCAGGAAAATGAAGTATGAAGTATATAGAGGAATGTGATATTCAAGATTATTTTGCCTCTTAATCCGCACTTTCTGCCAATCTGGCTGCGAAATACGATATTGAATAGAACATTCTTGCTCTTTCATACGTAAATTTTTCGATTTTCAATTACTCCTATTTGTCCGCTATTTCCCATTTTTCTTCCTACTTTTTCTTTCTTTCTTTCTTTCTTTCTCTGTAGTTTATCTGTCTCACTTTCTAGTACAGCGTCAGTTCTAAATTATGCATTGTCAAAAACAATCCACAGAGTCGGCCAGAAAACCTCGACAGCATCAAAATATCATTACCATTGTCAATAGTCTTATCAGCTCCAACTTTGGCTAGTGTTTCTAAATAGTCCTCTAATTAGTCTAATCTCTAACGGAATGGGCTGTAAAATCCAATGATATTCGTGTGATTCGACTAGCAATATGTTTCCTCACTCCACACCATCTTGACTAAAGGATTAGTTTATCTATTTATATCTGTCTGTGATTTTCACTACTTTTATAATCTCACGCTTATCCACACGACCACTTATGGCTCCACTGTTTATTTTCGAAAACTAAACTGCAGAGATAACAATCAATAATCACGTCATTTTTATCTTTATTCTTTGTTATTTTTGTTTTCGTTTTGTGCTTGTTCTGTCTAAGGTCAAAATACTTTAAAAATTAAGTGTTGTTTTGCGTAATGACGCGAGTATAGGTCATCAGGGTATGGCGGTGAAATACTCCAATATGTAACCAGAAATTTCACGTTTTTTGCTCAGTCTGGCCTTGCTATCTGATGTACTGATTCCCCATATCCGAGGACGGATAATCAAAGATAACATTTGTAACGGAAATCTGCCGAAATCACCGAAATAGTTTTTTTGATTTGCACCGGTTTATCGGGCTTCCCGTGAACCATCCCACTCAAAGGCGGTTACTGTAAGACTACACCGGAACCTTTAATTTTGTTTGCCTGGCTTACTCATTGASGGCTGTTCTGGGAGTTATTTAAGCGTCGTCTGTTCAAAAATACCRTAGAAATACACGCTGCCTAATCTAAACAATCATGGCTGACATAGACAACATAATGTCTGTTCTTCGTCAATGGTACTACTCCAAACGCCGGGTAATGTTGATTTATCTTCCTCTAGCCTGCTGTTTTATTATGTTTGGTGTTTTGTATTTTGTGGTTTACAGTCTGTTGTCAATTCTTTGGTTTGTTGAAGCCTATTTCCGATTCTCTAACCACGAGTGAGCGTGCTAACACCTCACCCCAAGATCCTTTTTACCCAAGGAATTCCGAGCACCTTTATTAATATTTTTACCAATTTTTTTACTGTATTTTAGAATCTAAGATCTTCCCGCTTAATTAATATTTCCTTGTAATGTTGAAAATAGCTCTCGAGATACGCGATAACCTTAAGTATGAAACCACTAGCTCCGAGATGGTCTCTTCTTTGCTTCATACGTACAATCTTCAAGGGTTTTTGTACGTTCTGTACTAATCTTAACCAAGCGATATAGCGTGCTCACCACGCAATATTACTAATATTATCTTGATATTATCTCAATGTTAATAGCATTTTTATTTTCGTTGTTTGTAGGAGGAGGAATCGAGAAAAGAAGCTGAAAAATTTGAAAAGGAAGACGCAGAACGCAAGGTAATAAATACTAAACTCTATGGCTAAATATATACGACAAGACCTCTACTTCGCCCCTAAGGGCATTTGCATATTAATTACCTAGTATCCTAGAGTCTGTATGTATTACGGGTGACTGGTTGCTGTCACATGCAGAGTTGAGTTATAAAGGCTGTTAAGACTCTTGTGTGACTTCAGTCGGTCCACATGTATGGGGGCAGWAGAGTCAACATGGTACATACACCAAACTCCACAATGATGCCTCGATCTATCAACGCGGCTTTTACGGTTTGTCTTGTTGGAAGCCGATTTCGAAAACTTCCTCAAGTAAGAATGAAACCAATTTTTTCTTTTTCTTTTTCTTTTCTTTTCTTTTCTTTTTTTGCATTTTTACAACTAAAAAAGGTCCGAMATTACAGTGCCTATTTCAGTCTTGTTTTTTAGTCAAAACTAATGTTACAACTTTGCAAATGTATGAAAACATCACCCTGAAGACTTTTCGTAATTTTGTAGAACATTTCTTTTCAGAGCTTCTCTTTTAATTGATAATCGTTTGCGTTTTGCGTGAAGCTGTGATTATTTTTTCATCGTCGCTTTCTTTTGTTTGGATTTGCAGTCAAAATCTTCTAATCCTTTCCTGTATTCTCAGGATTAAACCCTCTGGTCGATAATTAAATAACTCATGACATTTTCAATATTTTGCTTCGTCTATTTTGACATTTAAATCTCTGTACTTTTATAAAAATAGAACTATAATTGTGAATAATTTCGGTATTATTTTACCTGTTATCGTCACTAATGATCCGTGAACTGATGATAGCGTTCCGTTTAGTTTCATAAGCTTCCTTCGTCTAAGTATGCGTGAAAAGCCTTTGTATCCTAAGTGGTAATCACGCTCTAAACATCACGAAACTCAAAAACAACACCATCCTGGCCATTACTAGATGTTTATCTTGACTTTCATCGAGATCATTTCAAGAATTGATATACAAAGTCTTGAATGTTTCATCAAATTCCATTTATGGGTTGAAAGACTCACTCGCTCGGTGATGTGTGGCAGCTATGCCTGGCTTAACAAAAAGTCTGTTATTATCTTAAGTACATCAAGACACCAAGTTCCTTAAATTGGTTTTGAAATGTTATATGATTATCCGTTWTGGTTGTTTTTATTTTATAACGAGTTYTACTTTCTTGAAAGCCCTAAAATGRCCTGTTGTGAAAATTCACGAATACTTCTTGAGAAATGATGTTAGCCAAGAAAATTCTTAAAAATTTCATATTGATAAACTTCTGAAACAAAAAAATTGAACAAAGATTCTTATTTGCGTAATTTTGCATTCATTCATTCATCTTTCTATTCTAGTATTTTCCTCTCTTTTATTAGTTTTCCATTTGTTTACTTTTGCCAACAAAATAAGGCCAAATTATGCCATCTTTTCCTCGTTGCTAGCCACTTTTTATATCGTTTGGCAATGTTACAGTAAAAAAATAAATTTAAGGATTTTTCGAGAAGAAAACAATTCAATTTCAATTCTAGTGTTTGTTGACAACTGAAAATGACCGAAAAAAAGCGGGAGTTTTGCCAAAAGTAGAATTTTTTCTGGAAAAAACGGGTTTTATTAGTTATTCACACACTGTTTTATTCCATTGATGAATATCTTGAATATTCACGAATAAAAGAATAAGCTGAAAGTTCTAGAATAAAAGTTAATTTGTTGAAAATTTTCAATTAATCTTTTTATTTGTRGAAAGAGTTGTTTACGTTCTTCCCAGACGTGGTTCGTGTTTGGAATACTAATGAGCAAGTTTTATAGTAAACAACTTAATCCAGTTGACGTACATTTACTTACCTATGCCTTCTGCCTTACTCTTACTATACCAGCTGTCTTGACTATATATACAGTGACTATATTGAGTGCTTTCTACATGAGCCCCTGGCTCTGGAGAATTGAGCAAGCACTCCCCGCGTTTTCAAGGGGAAAAAAGCTTAACCTTTTATTTTTTACACGATTGAAACTCTTAAAAGCATTTCAAAGTTGAAATGTTGCTTAAAAACAATTTGTAAAGATAATTC